TTGTTCTTTTCATAAGAATGTTTATTATGGTTCTGACGTTATCATTCATTCTTCATTTACGGGAGGAAGCCCCATTGTTCTTCCTTTAGAAAATGCTTGAGTCTTTCTACCAAGACATTAGCAAATAATTTGTAATCAATATTCAATACTGAAATTGAGCGGTAGTTTTTTTTTTACATCCATCTTCTCCTTTGTTTTCTCTTTCTGTTTCTCTTTTCTTTTTCTTTTTCCATATCCTTCTCTTTCTATTTTTCTTTTTGCCTTTTCTTTCTTTCTTTCTTTCCTTCTGTTTCTCCTGTCCCCAGTTTTCCCCACCCTTCCCCCTTCCCTCCCTTCCCCCTTCCGTCCCGTCTCCCTCTCCTCCCCTCCCTTCCCCTCCCCTTCCCTCCTCTCCCTTCCCCCTCCCCTTCCCCTCCCTTCCTCCCCCCTCCTCTCCCTTCCCCCTTCCCTCCCCTCCCCTCCCGTCCCCTTCCCTTCCCCTCCTGGTTCCCCTCCCCTCCCCTCCTGGTTCCCCCTCCTTCTCCCCTCCATTCCCCTTCCCTTTTCCACAACATCATCCTGCCACTCTTCAGTTGCCTACTTGCAGAATTCAAGTTATATATCCTTCTTCGAAGAAATTTGAGAGCAGCTGAAAAGGAAGAGACTAAAAACAAAGAAAACCAGAGTATTTTACTATTAAGGGCTGATGTTGTGTCCCCTGAAGTCAACATGGGAGCAACCCATGCACAGAGACAGACCTTCCTTCTGAAATGGTGGTTGGTGCTTGAAGTGTGAAGGATGGGTATGTCGTTTTTGTGATGTGTGTTGGGGAATGCATTTCCTTTTATTGTACAATGTACAGTGACAATAAAGTTATTCTATCATTCTAAATACTTTAAGGTTTCTATGGTTATTGGACAATTAAGTGAGAGGTAGCCAATGTGCTTCTGATACTTTGGTGTATATATGTGGGGGATTTGCTCTGAAATGACCCTGTTTCTGGAATGACTGCGGACTTTGTGTCTTGTATTCATTGTTGTTGTTGTTTTGTTTTTTTGGGGTTTTTTGTCGTGTCAGGAGCGACTTGAGAAATTGCAAGTTGCTTCTGGTGTGAGAGAATTGGCCGTCTGCAAGGGCATTGCCCAGGGGACACCCAGATAAATTGATGTTTTTATCATCCTTGTGGGAGGCTTCTCTCATGTCCCCGCATGAGGAGCTAGAGCTGATAGAGGGAGCTCATCCGCCTCTCCCTGGATTCGAACCGGCGACCTGTCAGGCTTCAGTCCTGCCGGCACAGGGGTTTAACCCACTGCGCTACCAGGGGCTCCTTGTGTTCATTGTTACTCCCACTCTGCTGATGCAATTGTATTATTTTAGCCGGACTGGCGCAATGGGTTAAACCCTTGTGCCGGCTGAACTGCTGACCTGCAGGTTGGTGGTTCAACTCCTGCAAGGCAGGATGAGCTCCTATCCTGACAGACACCCTTGCTTCCCATGCGGAGACGTGAGAGAAGCCTCCCAGCAGGATGGTAGCACATTCGGGCATCCCCTAGGCATCGTCTTTGTAGATGTCCACTTCTCTCACGCCAGAAGTGACTTACAGTATGTTCTCATTTCGCTTCTGACACGATAAAAAGGTGGACTCAAGACTTTAATTTTCTTATAAGCAAATATGGTCTAGGCTTATCTTGTGTTTGTTTAATAAACGTCAGCCTTGATACCAGGAGAACCCTGGAACACGGGACCATCCGCCTTGCTTTGTGTGTACCTATTTATTTGCAGTATTTATATTCCGCCCTTCTCACCCCGCAAGGGACTCAGGGCGGATTGCAATGTACATATACATGGCAAACATTCAATGCCATAGACACACAACATATATAGACAGACATATTTCCCTGCCTAGAGTGAACTCCTTTCCATACTTGAGACGGTTGAATCCCCAAAGGGTCCATTCGGATACGCAGCTCTTCTCCCTCACGGCAGAGAACGGAAGGCAAAGAATGGTGAAGATTCACGTCCATCAGTCGAGATGGACAAGTTGACTAAATTGATGAAGTATAGAACAGCATTGAAAGGAAATAGAGATGAAAGTCATATAGTGAGAGAGAGGCTTATAGACTAGTGTTTGTTGCCCTTTAGTTTTGTTCTTATTGTGCAAGGTGTGTCTCCTTCTTTGCTTTATATTTGTTAAGTAGTACTTGAAAAAATGTACCAAAATTATAATTTGTATAAACATAGTTTGTTTTGTTTTTGTTTTTTTGTCTATGAATAAATATTGTTGTTGTTTTTCCAAAGCATCCCCTTCCTCGCCTCCTGAGCACTCAGAGCCTGGCCAGGCCACGAGAGAAGGTCTCCTGGAAAGGAAGGGAGAGGCCTCTTCTCACCCAGAGGAAACCCAAGTCCTGCCCACGGAGTCTCTGGGTTATTCATTCAGTGAGTTTTCACATTCACAGCCATTGCTATTCTGCATTTTGTAGTCGAAGGCTTTCATGGCCGGAATCCCTGGGTCGCTGTGAGTCTTCCGGGCTGCGTGGCCATCTTCCAGAAGCATTCCTGCCCACGCCTACCTACGGCAGGCATCCTCAGACAGGTGAGGCCTGTGGGAAAGCAGGCAAGTGGGGTTGATATATCTGTGGGAAGCCAGGCAGGAAGCAGCCAGAGTTTGGACCTGCAAGGCCATTCAATGCTAATGGAAACATCCACATTTGCCTACAACAGATACGTTCTTCCTCTCTCCCAGCCTGGGCATCCCTCCACAGGGATGTATGTCAGCCCCACTCGCCCAGTTTGCAAGAGGCCTCCCTCCCAACCTCTGAGGATGCCTTTAGCCAGAGAGAGATGGGGAGGAAATGTCAGGAGAGAGTGCTTCTGGAACCTGGCCAGGCAGCCCGGAAACCCATTCTCAGCAACAACCCAGGGATGCATGTTGTGCCTGTGAGAGAGAGAGAGGGAGAGAGAGAGAGAGAAAGAGAGAAAGGAGCCTCCCTCCCTGAGGTCCCAAGACACCCTGTCCGGGCCCTGGGCCTCCCCGGCTAGGCCCCCCAGCACGGCCCCCCCTCTCCCTCCCTCCCCAGGCTGGGCCAGGAAGGAGGGAGAGGCCAGGCCCCTTCGGGAGGAACTGCGCTCTAGCTCTGCCTCCCAGCCTCCTTCCTTCCTTCCTGCAGCCCGGCGGCTCCTTTAAGGCCAAGCCCCGCCCCTCTTTGGGCGGACGCCTCCTCCCGCCATGACAGCGCCGGGCGGAAGTAGGGCTTCTGGGTGACGTCACGGCCAGGCCCTTGGAGACAGAGGGAAGGGCGGAAGTGAGGGGGCGCTTCTTCCGGTGGGGCCTAGCCGAGGGAGAGGCAGCCACGCTTCTTCTCGGGATCAGTGGAAGGTGAGGGAGGAAAGGCCGAGGGAGTGTGGGAGGGGATGGGATGGGATGGGCAGGAGACTCTTCGGAGGCGGGCCTTCTTCCGGGCGGCCTGGCAGGCTCCTCCTGGGATTCCCTCAGAGAAGAGGGGGAGGGGGAGGGAGGGAGGCCTGAGGCCTGTGCTGGGGACCCCCTGGGCGCAGGACCCCCTCCCTCGAGACCCCCTCTCCCACCCCCACCTGGGCGCGAAGGGGGTCCCGAGGGAGGGATGGGGATGGGGGGGTCCTGGTCCCTCGCCAGTGGGCTCTGGAAGAGGGAGCCGGTCGGGAATAATCCCTCATCGCCCACAAACACACACCTCCATGCAGGCAGGCAGGCAGGCAGGGAGAGATGGGCAGGCAGGCAGGTGGGCGTGTCAAGGACTGCCTGGGAGTTCGGAAGAGCTCCCTTCCTTCCTTCCTTCCTTCCTTCCTTCCTTCCTTCCTTCCTTCCTTCCTTCCTTCCTTCCTTCCTTCTCTGGAGATTTTGAGCGGGGGCTGGATGGCCATCTGTGAGGAGGAGGGAGCGGGTGGTGCCTTCCTGCTTGACAGAAGGGGGTGGGATACATAATTATCCATGGCCCCCATCAAGTCTCCTCTCCGCCTTCTCTTCTTCAGGCTAAACATGCCCAGCAGCTCTTTCAGCCGCTCCTCATGGGGCTTGTTCCCCAGACCCTGGATCCTTTGAGTCGCCCTCCTCTGGACACTTCCCAGCTTACAGGCAACATCTCCCTTCCATTGTGGTGCTCAGAAGTGGACACAGTGGTGGGATTACAGGTAAAGTGGTCTGACCAAGGCAGAATAGAAGAGAGAGAGAGTGAGACTGAATACGTCCCATCTCGAAGCTTAAGATCTTCTGGGGAGGCCCTGCTCTCGACCCCGCCTTTATCACAAGTGAGACTGGCGGGGACGAGGAGCAGGGCCTTCTCGGTGGTGGCCCCCCGCCTATGGAACTCACTCCCCGGGGAGATTAGATCGGCGACTTCCCTCCTATCATTTAGGAAAAAAGTGAAGACCTGGATATGGGATCAGGCATTTGGACACTCTGGCAGCTAAAGGAAGGACCTGGAGGATGGACAAGAACTGACTGAATAGAACGGATCTACGGAATCTTGGAACGCTGAACTTGAGATTGTTTTCTGATGGTGCTATGTTTTGATGACATTGATGTTTTTAATCTGTTTTTTAATTGGTTAACTGTTTAAATGTTGTTTTATTTCTTTGTATACTGATAAAGGCATCTAATTGTGCCTCCCTTGTAAGCCGCCTTGAGTCCCCCTCCGGGGGTGAGAAAGGCGGGGAAAAAGTAACGGAAAGAAATAAAATAAATAAATAGAGTTTGTAGTTGAGAGAGGCCCAGGACCCCCCTGGCTGAGAATGAGAAAGGCCCCTCCCTGAACACCTGGCAGGGTAAGAAATCGCACACGGAGAATCTTGGGGCCCCGTCCCCTTTGTACCTGAGGAGGGAGGGATTCCTCGTTGTTGGGCAAGTGTCAAAGTATTTGTCACCTGGCAATGGGCAGCTTCCCTCTTCCTCTTGGTTTGCTACAGCACTAGACTTCCTCTTCGTGTTCCATGAGATCTTTCCCTGTTCAACTCCTGAAGAGATTTTCCTCTCATTTCTCTGGCAGGTAACTTCGGAACAAGTTCTGCGAAGAACGCCTTGTGAGAGCTTTGCCTGAGGAGTGCTGTCAGTTCAACTTCAAGATACACAGCAATGACAACAAGAAAAAATAAGTACTAGATAAATATATTTGAGGCTACATACCTGTGCAGTTAAGGGAAGAAATAAGATTTTGCTTTAGAAAGAGAGGCTTGGGAAATCAAGCAGAAGGCTACAGCGATACAAAAACTGCTGTTCAGGCGGTTATATCTGAGAACCCCTGGCATCATATTTGAATTATAAATGTGAAAGAATGGCAAGTACTCTACCTCCTTATCCTCGATCAGACACAGGGGAGAAGTTACATCAGTGTATGGAGTGTGGAAAACAATTTGATAGGAAAAGTTCTCTTACTGTACATGAACGGACCCACACAGGGGAGAAGCCATATCAGTGCATGGAATGTGGAAAATGCTTCAGTCGGAGTGGCCATCTACGTTCCCATCAAAGGACGCACTCAGGGGAGAAGCCATATAAATGCATGGAATGTGGAGAAAGCTTCAGTCAGAGTGGAAATCTACGTTCCCATCAAAGGATCCACACAGGGGAGAAGCCACATAAATGCATGGAATGTGGAGAAAGCTTCAGTCAGAGTGCCCATCTACGGTCCCATCTAAGGATCCACACAGGGGAGAAGCCACATAAATGCATTGAATGTGGAGAAAGTTTCAGTCAGAGTGGCACTCTACATTCCCATCAAAGGATCCACACAGGGGAGAAGCCACATAAATGCATTGAATGTGGAGAAAGTTTCAGTCATAGTGGCAATCTACGTTCCCATCAAAGGATCCACACAGGGGAGAAGCCATATAAATGTATGGAATGTGGAGAAAGTTTCAGTCTCAGTGGCGCTCTACGTTCCCATCAAAGGATCCACACAGGGGAGAAGCCACATAAATGCGTGGAATGTGGAAAGAGTTTCAGTCAGAGTGGCCATCTACGGTCCCATCTAAGGATCCACACAGGGGAGAAGCCACATAAATGCGTGGAATGTGGAGAAAGTTTCAGTAAGAGTGGCAATCTACGTTCCCATCAAAGGATCCACACAGGGGAGAAGCCACATAAATGCATGGAATGTGGAGAAAGTTTCAGTAAGAGTGGCAATCTACGTTCCCATCAAAGGATCCACACAGGGGAGAAGCCATATAAATGTATGGAATGTGGAGAAAGTTTCAGTCGCAGAGACCATCTACGTTCCCATCAAAGGATCCACACAGGGGAGAAACCACATAAATGCGTGGAATGTGGAAAGAGTTTCAGTCAGAGTGGCCATCTACGGTCCCATCAAAGGAAGCACACAGGGGAGAAGCCATATAAATGTATGGAATGTGGAAAAAGCTTCAGTCACAGTGGCAATCTTCGTTCCCACCAAATGACTCACACAGTACAGAAGCCATAGAAGTGCATAGAATGTGGAGAAAGTTTCAGTCCAAATCTATCTACATTGCTTTTAAAGGAGCCACGTCGTAGAGAAGCCATATAAATGCACGGAATGTGGGAAGAGCTTTAGAGAACATTCAGCATACAATAAACATCACGGAACTCATGTGCCGCTAGAGGAGACCTGCCTTTCAGTTTCTGAGCTCTCTTTCAAAAAATATTGGAATGAAAGAGGAAGGCCGGCACCTGGCTCTCTCTCTTTCTCTCTACCATGAACTAGTTTGTGTGGCCTTTGTTCTGGAACAGCTGTTCCAGGAGCTCCAGATTTATTTGCTGTGTTTAAATGTTTGTGTGCAATCCCATGCTTGGGATTTTGCAGCAGGGGGTTTCCTGTTATAATTTGCATTTATAGGGTAAGCCACCTGCCAATTATAGTTAGGATCCCTGGTCCCGCCCCCTTTTTGCCTTTCGGAGGGAAGGGGACATTTTTCAGTTAGTCACAGCAAGGGAAGCCAAGGCAGAGGATGCGTACAGACGTTCGTCCTGTGCAAAGGCTTCGTCTTTTAAGACTTCCTGGGGAAGAACAGATTAAAGGCCTCTACAGATTCCCAAAGGGTTCCAGGGAACAGCTTCACAGCCCTGAGAACCTCCGGAGGGAATAACAGCTCTTCATCTTCAGCTAAGTGATTTCAAGCCTGATGGTACGTCTGTTCGGTTCTGAGACGCAGTTCAGCCGGTAGCAGACTCAGACCAGTCAGGTTTAAGTTCACAGCAGCCTGGGAGGAGCTTTAAAGGGGAATTTTTCCTGTTAAACAAAGTTTATTGAAGATAGTGCCTGTTTCCTGTAAACAAGACTGCAAGAGCCAATAGACTATTTAGAATTCTTACAATTCCTGCTTGTTCATTAATAAAGACTGTTGTATTTAAGCTTAAGTCTCCTAAAGCCTGTTTAATAGGGAAAATTCCTCCAAAGGTTCTTTCTTGGACCCCCGGGCTTCCTGCTGGATGCAAGCCTTGCATCCTCTCTTAGAAGCATTTAATTTCAGCTCCAGCGGCGACAGAACAGCCTTGGTCGATGGCTAATGGGAGCAGGTCTCACTCAGAAGGGGATTTTTCTCCGTATTGCAGAAAGCTCCGAAGGGGTTCCCCTAGCCTCCTCCATAAGAAACCCATCCCAGGCTTCTAGGGTGATCTGTGGAGGTTTGCTGAAAGGAGCAGCAGCTGAGATCTCTGGATAAAAGGGTAAAAGTAGGGCTTCTGGGTGACGTCACGGCCAGGACATTGGAGAGAGAGAGAGGGAAGGGGGGGAGGCCTCCGCAGGAAGTCGGCAACGCTTCTTCCAAAGTGGAGTGGAGGGAGGACTCGGGAGTGTGTGTGGGAAGGAAGGAAGTAGGGAGGGAGGGAGGGAAGGAAGGGGGGGAGGCCTCCGCGGGAAGTCGGCAACGCTTCTTCCCAGGTGGAGTGGAGGGAGGCCTCAGGAGTGTGTGTGGGAAGGAAGGAAGGAGGGAGGGGAGGGAAGGGGGGGAGGCCTCCGCGGGAAGTTAGCAACGCTTCTTCCCAGGTGGAGTGGAGGGAGGCCTCAGGAGTGTGTGTGGGAAGGAAGGAAGGAAGGAAGGAGGGAGGGAGGGAGGGAGGGAAGGGGGGGAGGCCTTCGCGGGAAGTCGGCAACGCTTCTTCCCAGGTGGAGTGGAGGGAGGCCTCAGGAGTGTGTGTGGGAAGGAAGGAAGGAAGGAAGGAGGGAGGGAGGGAGGGAAAGGGGGGAGGCCTCCGCGGGAAGTCGGCAACGCTTCTTCCCAGGTGGAGTGGAGGGAGGCCTCAGGAGTGTGTGTGGGAAGGAAGGAAGGAGGGAGGGAGGAGGGAAAGGGGGGAGGCCTCCGCGGGAAGTCGGCAACGCTTCTTCCCAGGTGGAGTGGAGGGAGGCCTCAGGAGTGTGTGTGGGAAGGAAAGAAGGAGGGAGGGAGGGAGGGGGGGAGGCCTCCGCGGGAAGTCGGCAACGCTTCTTCCCAGGTGGAGTGGAGGGAGGCCTCAGGAGTGTGTGTGGGAAGGAAGGAAGGAGTGAGGGAGGGAGAGAGGGAAGGAAGGTGGGGGAGGCCTCCGCGGGAAGTCGGCAACGCTTCTTCCCAGGTGGAGTGGAGGGAGGCCTCAGGAGTGTGTGTGGGAAGGAAGGAAGGAAGGAGGGAGGGAGGGAGGGAGGGGGGGAGGCCTCCGCGGGAAGTCGGCAACGCTTCTTCCCAGGTGGAGTGGAGGGAGGCCTCAGGAGTGTGTGTGGGAAGGAAGGAGGGAGGGAGGGAGGGAGGGAAGGGGGGGAGGCCTCCGCGGGAAGTCGGCAACGCTTCTTCCCAGGTGGAGTGGAGGGAGGCCTCAGGAGTGTGTGTGGGAAGGAAGGAGGGAAGGAAGGAGAGGGAGGGAGGGAGGGAAGGGGGGGAGGCCTCCGCGGGAAGTCGGCAACGCTTCTTCCCAGGTGGAGTGGAGGGAGGCCTCAGGAGTGTGTGTGGGAAGGAAAGAAGGAAGGAGGGAGGGAGGGGGGGAGGGAAAGGGGGGAGGCCTCCGCGGGAAGTCGGCAACGCTTCTTCCCAGGTGGAGTGGAGGGAGGCCTCAGGAGTGTGTGTGGGAAGGAAAGAAGGAGGGAGGGAGGGGGGGAGGCCTCCGCGGGAAGTCGGCAACGCTTCTTCCCAGGTGGAGTGGAGGGAGGCCTCAGGAGTGTGTGTGGGAAGGGAGGAAGGAAGGAAGGAGGGAGGGAGGGAAGGGGGGGAGGCCTCCGCGGGAAGTCGGCAACGCTTCTTCCCAGGTGGAGTGGAGGGAGGCCTCAGGAGTGTGTGTGGGAAGGAAGGAAGGAAGGAAGGAGGGAGGGAGGGAAGGGGGGAGGCCTCCGCGGGAAGTCGGCAACGCTTCTTCCCAGGTGGAGTGGAGGGAGGCCTCAGGAGTGTGTGTGGGAAGGAAGGAGGGAGATGGAGAGGGGGGGAGGCCTCCGCGGGAAGTCGGCAACGCTTCTTCCCAGGTGGAGTGGAGGGAGGCCTCAGGAGTGTGTGTGGGAAGGAAGGAAGAAAGGAAGGAAGGAAAGAGGGAGGGAGGGAAGGGGGGGAGGCCTCCGCGGGAAGTCGGCAACGCTTCTTCCCAGGTGGAGTGGAGGGAGGCCTCAGGAACTGTGTGTGGGAAGGAAGGAAGGAAGGAAGGAAGGAAGGAAGGAGGGAGGGAGGGAGGGAGGGAGGGAGGGAGGGAGGCTGGCCATGCTTGGGTCACTGGAGCCACCCTTCTCCCTCCCTTGTCTCCCTCCCTTTCTCAGGAGGGAAGGAAAGAAGAAGAAAGGAGGAAGAGAAGAAACGAAAGAATAGGAAGAAGGAAGAGAAGGAAAGAAAAGATGAAGAGAGTGTTCCTGAGACAGAGAACGGTTAGAAGGAAGATGAGGGAGTGAAGGAGAGAACGGCGTGACGACGTCAAACATGATGAAGGCCTGACGCCAAGTACGGAAGTAAGTAAGTAAGTACCGGACGTGCGTAAGAAGGAAAGGAAAGTTAGAGAAATCCACTTGATTACTTACGTAGCTGGCAGTGACGTTATCTACCTACATTGCAGGTCCGGCCTGCTATTAAGGTCATTAGATACCGTCAGCTGACCTTCCACTCTTCCTTCCTTCCTTCATCCCTTTCTTCCCTTCTCTCCCTCCCTTTCTTCCTTCTCTCCCCCCTTTCTCCCTTCATCCCTTTCTTCCTTCCTCCCTTTCTTCCTTCTCTTCTTCCTTTCTTACTTAATTACTCTCTTCCTTCCTTCCTTGCTCCCTCCCTTTCTTCCCTTCTCTCCCTCCCTTTTTCCTTCTCTCACTCCTTCCTTACTTCATTCCTCCCTTCATACCTTCCTTCCGCTCTTCCTTCCTTGCTCCCTTCCTTCCTTCCTCCCTTCTCTTCCTTTCTTACTTCATTCCCTTCTTCCATTCCTTGCTCCCTTCCTTCATCCCTTTCTTCCTTCTCTCCCTCCTTCCCTACTTCCTTCCTCTCTTCCTACCGCTCTTCCTTCCTTCCTTTCTCTCCCTCCTCTTTCCCTCCCTCTCTCCATACAATCATATAGATTGTGTGTGTGGGTGCAAAGGGGGGTCATGAGGGCTCTGGGAGGGGGAGCCAATAGGGCATCCATCACCCACAAAAACAGACAAACAGATAGAAAGACAGATCAATGGATGTGTGTGTCAAGGAAAACCAGGGCACTTGAATGGGGCAGGTCACATGCTATGTTTTGAAAGGGGCTTGTTTCCTTCTAAAGTGTGCTTGAGGGATGCTTGCGCTGTTTGTGTCATTGGCACCTCCCTTCCTTTCTTCCTTCTCTCCCTTCCTTTCTCCCTTCATCCCTTCCTTCCTCCCTTCCACTCTTCCTTCCTTGCTCCCTTCCTTCATGCCTTTCTTCCCTTATCTCACTCCCTTTCTTCCTTCTCTTCCTCCTTTCTCCTTCCCTTCCTTCCTCTCTTCCTTCCTTCCTTGCTCCCTCCCTCCCTTTCTTCCCTTCTCTCCCTCCCTTTTTTCCTTCTCTCACTCCTTCCTTACTTCATCCGTCCCTTCATCCCTTCCTTCCTCTCTTCCTTCCTTATTCCCTTTCTTCATCCCTTCTTTCCTTCTCTCCCTCCTTTCTTACTTCATTCTTTCTTGCTCTTTTCCTTTTTTCCCCTTCTTTCCCTTTCTTCCTTCTTTCCTTCCTTCATTCTTCCCTTCATCCTTCCTTCCTCCCTTCTCTCCTTCCTCCCTCCTTTCCTTCATCCCTGCCTGCCTTCCACACTTCTGCTCCTCCTCCTCCCTTCCGCTCTTCCTTCTACCCTTCCTCCCTTTCTTCCCTTCTCTCTCCCACCCCCCCTTCAAACAAACATATTCATAAATAGATAGGTGTGTGTGTGTGTGTGTGTGTGTGAAGGAAAATCAGGGCACTTTCATGGCGCTGGTCACACGCTATGTTTTGATATGTTTTGAAATGTGCTCGTTTCCGTCCAGTGTGTGCTTTAGGGATGCCAGGTGCCCTGGGAGTGAGGCTGGCAGAGTTTGGAGGAGGTTTGGGCTGTCAAATGGCATGAACGACGTGCAGAATAATTTTTGGATGCTTTGACATCCAAAGGCAGTCAGCCTTGTTTGCGCTTTGGGCATGTTTAGCCTGAAGAAAAGAAGGCTGAGAGGGGATATGATAGCCATGTATAAATATGTGAGAGGAAGCCACAGGGAGGAGGGAGCAAGCTTGTTTTCTGCTTCCCTGGAGACTAGGACGCAATGGAGCAATGGCTTCAAACTACAAGAGAGGAGATTCCATCTGAACATGAGGAAGAACTTCCTGACTGTGAGCCGTTCAGCAGTGGAACTCTCTGCCCCGGAGGGAGTGTGGTGGAGGCTCCTTCTTTGGAAGTTTTAAACAGAGGCTGGATGGCCATCTGTCAGGGGTGATTTGAATGCAATATTCCTGCTTCTTGGCAGAATGGGGTTGGACTGGATGGCCCATGAGGTCTCTTCCAACTCTTTGATTCTATGATTCTATGGGATCCCTTTCCTTGAGTTCCTGAAATTTGTCCCCCATTTTGAGCCCCTTGAAGACGGAAGAGAAGAGAGATCCAGGTTCAACCGATTCGTTTTTCAGAATTCTGTATTTGATTCAGTTTAGTATTTATATCTTGTGGATTTGACTCGCTAGGCTCTGAACGCCACACGCACTCGAGTCTCCTCTTCATTCGCTTCATTGAACCAAGGAGCAGGTTTAGCTCGGCTACTTGAGAGGGGACGGTCCAGAGCCATCGTGTCTATTGCCCTGGGTAGTTCATGATTTAGTCATTGTGGGCCTTAATCTTTTTGAATGGAGTCTCCAAAGCTATTAACTCATTCATTCATTCTTTCATCCAATTCCATTCAAACCATATATCATATGAAATCTGCACATTATATTTCTTGTGAC